TCTGCCTCTACTTCCTCTTGCTGCTTCTGCCTTCCTCTGCCTCTGCCAGTTCCTTCTGCTTCCTCCTCCTTTCTTTCTTCTTCCTTCTGCCACTTCTGCCTTCCTCTGCAAGCCCAGCTCAGCAAGTCTTTATTTTTTATACTTAAAATTACACAGTACATACATTGACACTTTTATCTTTTCTTGAATTATTACACAGTTAGTCACAACATTCTTGCACCTGGTCCTTAGACAGCCTTAACAAGAATACTCTGTGATGTTCAGACTGACCTTCATGTTCTTTCCCAGTATGAGATAAAACTGTTTCTTCTTGTTTCTACTAAAAGACTATAAACTTCTATCCTACATAATGTGCTATTATTTTCACAATAAAGGTATTCATTAAATCACTTGGAAGCTATGTGGCATAAAGCTCAACCTGGCTACTTGCTGCAAGAAGTATAGATTATTAAATCAAAACTATCCTTCACTTAAGTTCATTATTGTCTGCTTGTTTACACAGGTGTCTATATGTAGGGGTTTGTGAATTCCAGCTAGTGACTGAATGTGGTGAGGCCTATGGGGGTAGGTCAGCTTGACTCTGATATGCTATCTGCTTTTGTGGCCTCACAAATGCAGTTATTTAGGTTTTCTATGAGAAGGAGTAATTTACACAATTTCTCTTTGCATTCAATCCACAAAGGCTGAAAGCAATTGCTGCTAAACTAGTTTTCCCTAAGATTTGTAGAATTCATAGTGAAAGCTGAGAATATTGCCAAATTATATATTTTTACAAGTAAATTCAGGGCTAACTTGAAGGGAAGATAAGAGTCAGCTTTTGAGAATCATATGCCGTGCATAATGTCTCTCCTCTTAGTGCGGCCTTGCCAAGCACCCAGAGTTAAGCGCTCCCTGCATAGACTATCACACAATTCACAATAAAACATTTAAAAAAAAAAAAAATCAAACAATGCATTGCATTAGGCAAATCTTCTGCAAAAGTATCACATTGAGGACTAAAGTGTATCTAACCCAAATAATGATATTTTCAATCACTTCATATAAATGAGAAAATTTGGCAATGAATAAACAAGATGCATTTGAAATATGCTATTGGAGAAGAATATTGAAAGTACCATGGACTGCCAGAAGAACAAATAAATCTGTCTTGGAAGAAGTACAGACAGAATGTTCCTTAGACGTGACAATAGTAAGGCTCTGTCTCTTGTACTTTGGATATGTTGTCAGGAGGGACCAGTCCTTGGAGAAGGACATCATACTTGGAAAAGTAGAGAGTCATCGAAAGAAGACAATCCCCAACAAGATGGATTAATACAGTGACAGCAACAATGAACTCAAACATAATGACAATTGGTGCAGGGCTGGGCCGTGTTTTGTTCTGTTGAACATACGGTTCTATCAATCGGAAACAACATGATGGCACCAAGCAACTAACTGTGGGATACTAGATAGACCTCAAGAGCAGGGCAGTGTGTATTTAGAAAACAGGAGAAAATGGAGGACGGCCTTCTGGGTGGGGGAAGTGAAGAGCAGATGGGTGGAGATGAGATCATACAGCAAGTCTGCAAACACAACTTAAAGCAGCAGGAAACAGGGATTACCCACCATGGAGAGCATTAGGTGACCACTTCAGGAAGGTTTCAAAGAATGGCTGCATTTTGGGTGGCTGTTTAATCATTTTGTTTCCATAGTCCCTGAGTGTTCTGTGCACTTTTTTTCAGCCTTTATGCTCATGCTATTCCTTCAGTCAAAAAATACCTTCTCTTCCTACAAAAACCCAACTTTTCTATTAAGACTCAGTTTATATGCAACAGTTGATCTGATAATAAGTCCTTTACTTGATCTTATAATCACAAGTGGGTATGGTTTTCTGTGCTCCTCAAATACTTTTATTGTTTAAACCTCCATAAATTCTAGTTATGATTGCTGCTTTGTTTGCTTTTCCCACAAGATATTCTAAGTTCCTTGTTTTGTACTCCTGATAGCTCTGAAGCTAGGTCCTCAGCTATACTAAATTGTGAAACTTATTTGTGAAATGGATGAATAAATGTCTTGTCCTCACATAAATAGATTAGCCACGTCATCAAGCAGGAGTTTTGTACCATATATATATATATATATATATATATATATATATTTTTTTTTTTTTTTTTTTTAAATGACAGCTTATTTTGGAGTCCTGGTATAGTGCAGTAGGATAAGCACGTGACCATAAGGTCATTTTTGAATCACAAAGTCGGCAGTTCAAACTCACCAGCTGCTCCTCGTTAACCCTATACAGGGTCACTGTGAGTTGGAACCTACTTGACGGCACTTAACAACAAGAACATTTTAGAATTATTTTAGATTTAAGAAGTTGGGACATGTATACAGAGAGTTGTCATATTCCCTGCACTCACTTTCCTCTATTACTAACATGCTGCATCAGTATGGTACATTTGTCACAGTGAATGAGCCAATATTGATGCATTATTATTCACTGAAGACCACACTTTTTTCAGGTTTTCTTAGGTTTCACCTAATGTCCTTTCTGTTTTTTATTTGTTTGTTTGCTCCCAGACCCCATCCAGGATGCATTCTATTTACTTGCTTAGCTCTTTCAGGTCCTCTGCACTTTGGCAGTTTCTCAGACTCTCCTTGTTTGATGACCTTGTTAATTTGAAGAGTATTTTCAGGTGTTTTGTAGGCTGCCTCATTATTGGAATTTGTCTGGTATATTCCTCATGAAAAGACTGCAATTATGGGTTTTTGAGAGGAAGACCACAGAGGTGAAATATTACTTTCATGACATCATGCTAAGGGTACATGCTATCAACATGCCTTATCACAACTAATATTAACCATCATCATCCAGCTAAAGTTGTTGTTGTTGTTAAGTGCCATCGAGGTGGTTCTGACCCATAGCGACCCTGTTTAGGGTTTCTGAGGACCGACTGGCAGCTAAAGTAGTGTTTGCCAATTTTTATTTTCCATAGTGGTCAATACCTTATCTTGCAGAGTCAACGCTTCATAAGGAAAAAACTGATACTATCTACCTTTGTGTTCACTTCATCTAGCGCTGATATCAGTACAAAGTAGACATGTGGCCTATATTTGATAAATGTAGGAACAAAATGGAGAATGCCTGAATACCTTTATTGAGTTGTATGTTGTTGTTGAGTGCCGTTGAGTAGGTTCTGACTCACAGTGAACCTGTATAGGGTTTATGAGGAGCAGCTGGTGAGTTTGAACTGCCGACCTAGTTGTTCAAACTGACCTTGCGATCCTGCACTTATCCTATACCATGATAAAACAATTCAACAAAAAACTTGAATGATATTAATGATTCTAGTAAAGTTGCATTAAGCTTTATTAAGAGAGCACATTTATGAGATTTGCTTTGAATGAACAATAACATTTGCTATGTGAACAGAACATAGGATGCTATCCATACCAACTATTCAAAGAGTTTTTAGCAGAAATAGCAGTATTGGGAGAAGCAGTCCAACAGTGAGCCTAACAGTATTCTGGGAGATGCAATGTCTCCTGCTTCTTACATTGGGAAACAGAACAATGACTCAGGGATGACACGAACTTCTTTATCTATCAAAACAGATCGGTCAGGATCATGCCTATATTTGTGAATTTACCCAACACATTGAGAGGTCTCTCACACGTATGAATTGGACACAGTGGCTGAGTTAGTTTGTGCACAGTATCTTAGGAAAATAGCCCGTCTCTTTTTCAGGAATTAAGCACAGTAGACTGAACTTCTACCCAGGAAATTCCCTTGAGAAATTATGAATCCAGTGAGGGCTGTTCACAGATAACATTTTGACAGATGAAAGAGAGTAGAAAACTTCGTAAGGAAAAGAGGAAAGAGTATCAAAGAAGAATAAATATGTTTTCAGGTACATACGGGAACAGAGGAGTGAGTCAGTGGATTCAATGAAGGAAGTTATTGAGAGAGTTGTCTGCAGAGTTGGTATGCTGAACTCTGAGACAGTTATCAAATAGGAATATGATATTTATTTTCCTAGAAATATGCTGCTTGTTGCTGCTGGTGGTGGCTGTATGTGTGTAGTCAGTTCTAACCCATAGCGACCCTGTATAGGATTTCTAAGAGGAGCAGAAAGCCTTATCTTTCTCTCATGGAACAGCTGGTAGTTTCGAACTGCTGACCTTGAGATTAGCAGCCTGCATCATAACCACTAGGCTATTTGTTGTTGTTTGTTGTTGTTGTTGTTAAGTGCCATCGAGTCGGGTCCGACCCATAGCGACCCTGTACAGGGTTTCCGAGGGTGTAAATCTTTACGGGAGTAGAAAGCCTCATCTTTCTCCCGCGGAGCGGCTGGTAGTTTCGAACCGCTGACCTTAAGGTTCGCAGCCCGATTCGTAACCACTACGCTACTGTTGTTGTTAAGTGTTACTAAATCAGATCTGACTAATAGTGACGCTGTATTTGGAGTCGTGGAGTGGCGCTGTGGGTTAATGCACCAGACTGCAAAGCCGTTTGAACTGCAAGGTTGGTGGTTCAAGCTCACCAGCTGCTCCTTGAAAACCCTATACAGGGTCTCTATGGGTCGGAACCAACTCGACAGTACTTAACAACAACAACATATGGAGTCCTGGTGTGGTGTTGTTTGATAAGCACTGGACCGCAAGGTCAATTTGAACCACCAGATGGCAGTTGAAAGTTACCAGTCAAAGGCATCAGCTCCTCAGAAACACCATACAGGGTCACTAGGAGTCCAAATTGACTCAACTGTACTTAACAACAACAGCATGGGGGTTCCAAGGAGAGGCTAGTGGGTTTGAATAGTCAGCCTGTGATTAACAGTACAGTGCTTATCCTACAGCACCACCCCAGGATGAATACCTTAGCAAGTCTGAAAACTTTGTTTATTCTTTTTAATTTAGAGAGCTATCTATTTTCTTGAGTATTATTGGCTTTTTAAAAGTGTCATTTCATTTGGAAATTGTGAAGATATCTTCAATGACCTCAATCCACTTCTTTACATTTATTCAGAAAACAAATTCATGGTTGCTGAATGGTCCTTTAAAACTTGACCACTCACAATCAGTTTTATGGCTTTCCTGAACCATGGGTAAAAGAGAGCATAAATCAAAGGGTTCATGGCTGAGTTATAATAAGCGCACCAGACACAAATCTCATAAATGTAGGCAGGGGTGATGAAGCCCATATAAGCGTCAATTAATGAATCAATACTGTATGGTAACCATGAAATCATAAATGCTACCACAGTGATACCCAGGGTCTTAGCAGCTTTTCTCTCTCTCTTGGCCACTCTGGCTTTGTAACTCTCTGCTGATGATTCTGTTTTGTTATGAGTCGTTTCAATTTTTTTAGCCTGTTGCCTGGCCACAAGGAAAATATGACTATAGAGAATTATCATCACAAGGGTAGGTATAAAGAAGGACAAAAAATCTATCAACACCCAGTTTTGATTTACAACTGTCTGACACCCCCCTATACAGTTTAGAGCACTAGATAATTCCTCTAGACCATCGTCGTTGGCACCTGTGAAGAAGACGGCACCGCTGTACACAACTGGCAGGACCCAGGAGATGCCGATGCATATTCCTGACACAGACACCGTGACCTTGGTAGGATAGACCAGAGGGTCAGTAACAGCGATGTACCTGTCGATGGAGATGAAGCACAAGTGGAAGAGAGAGGAGTAGCAAAATGCCACATCACAGCAAGTGTGGACATTACAAAAGCTCTCCCCAAAGTACCAGCAGCTCTCCACAGACCTTACCATGCTGAAGGGCATCACGGTCACTCCCACCAAAAAGTCAGCACAGGCCAGGGAAGCAATGAGAAAATTAGTTGGAGAATGAAGCTGCTTAAAATGAAGGATTGAAATCATCACCAGAAGGTTTCCAAACACAGCCAGCACAGCGCCACAGCCAAACACTGCATACAGAATCACGCGGGGACCAGGCGAGTAGGGAGCTTTGACACACGATCCGCTCACGTTCTCGTAGCAGAGCTGCAAGGGGACAGGCAGGGATGTGTTGCTGCTCATGATGCTGCTGTTTACACTGAGGGACCGTCTGTCATTGCGATTACTGGAAAAATAGGATTCCAATTTTCAGGGCTCCTGTTAACACATACATACACACATGAATCCATTTGATGCTTGAGTATATATATTTTTTTCAATTTTCTATTTTAATGATAAATGTCAAATGATTTCAATAATAGATAAAATCCAACAAAAATTATGTGGTACAAGATTACTAGGGATTGATTTCAATTAATGTATTGAAATTAACATCCAGTGTTTTTAATTTGATAAAATTCTTTTTTAGCTTTATTTTATTTGTTACCTCTAGAGATCCTCTTTGCAACAGCCACAGATACGAAATGTAATTGTGGAATTGAAGGATCACATTCGATTAGCTTTATACTCTATGAGAGTCTAACTGCATTAGTTCTTAAAGCCTGTTGTCCTTCCAGCTAAGTAAATACCGCCAATGGAAAAGTCCCTAGATGCAATCCCTGTAGTGTAATGTGTGAACGAATACAATTATTTTCAACAGTGACTGTTAAGACAGCTGTTCTATGAAGTAACTCTACGTTAAATTAGATTGGCAATTTTAGGCCAAAGATTTTTTATTCTTTTACTGTGTTCACTTGAAGCATTTCCTCATTATGTCCCTCACCCAATTCCCAATCAGGACTTGCCTACTCTATTGAACTTTTGTTTTTATTGCTATTGTTAAGTGCCATGGAGTAGGTTGTAACTCATGGTGACCCTGAATAGGGTTTCCGAGGAGCAGCTGGTGAGTTTGAACCGCCAACCTTTCTGTTGAGTGATTATCCTATGATGCCACTCCAGGCCTCCAAGGTACAATGCACATTAGGATGCAAGAGAAAATAGGATGCAAGGAACAATACTCAAACTTGCTCTATTTCTCCTGTTAAGAATCATATTTGTATCTGCTTTGTTTACCAAAGAGAAATGTAACATACACTGAGGGTATCTTGAGATGAAAAAATACATGAAAGCATTAAACTACAGCATGTTTAGCTACACCAACATTTCTGAAATAGTACAATTGTCCTTAGTGCTGATACGGAGCCCTGGTGGTACAGTGATTAAGTGCTCATTTGATAACCAAAATGTTAATGGTTCAAACTCACCAGCTTTGCACTGGGAGAAGCGGCAGTCTGTTTCTATAGAAACGGACAGCCTTGGAAACCCTCTGGACGTGCTCTACTCTGTTTGATAGGGTCTGGCTATGTATGAGTGAGAATTCGACTTGATGGCATTGGGTTTGGTCTGTTTTTTATTTCAGTGTTGCTAACAAATGGTCATTGAGTGCATGCTTAAAATGTTTTTCCATACAATGTGAGAAATAGGCAGTAAACCCTGTGACTATATATTGGTTTGTTGTCTCAGATGATTGACTTATCTGCTTCCAATGCTGAAAGAAATCAAGCCAGGAATAAGGGAAAGGAAACTAGAAAAAGAAAGCCAATTGTTGGTGATTTCCTGGAACTCTGGAACACCTCAGGGCAAGGAGCGGCCTGATTCAGAAGAATTTGAGTCTCCTCTCCCTCAAGGGCTATCACTTCAGGGAGGAAAATAATAACAATGTGAACTTGGCTTAAAGCTCTAAAGAACTACAGAATGTGAAATAGTATTCTTAATCCCACTGGCTATTTGACTCCTAACCAATAAAACAAACAGTTTCAACCAAATTACCTTTTAAATTCCTTTTCCTACAACCTGAGTATCTTATTTGGTGAAATAATATCAATTGCTGATATAAACTCTAAAAAATAAACATTGCCATCCGTCAATTATGACTGAGAATGAATGATTTTGGCAGAGTAGAACTGCCTCATAGGTTTTCAAGACTGGCATCTTTACAGAAGCAAACAAACACATCTCTTCCCCACAAAGCGGCTAATGGGTGTGAAAGCTGACCTTTTGTTAGCCGTCCAGTGCTTAACCATATGCCACCAGGGCTCCTTATATACGTTCTAGACTGCTTTTTTTTTTTCAATCCCAGTGCCATTAACATTTGGGATTGGATAATTGTTTGATGTGGGGAATTGTCCTATGTATTGTAGGGTGTTTAGCAACATCACTGGGTCTACTTGTTGTTGTTGTTGTTGTTAGGTGCCATCAAGTCATACTGACTCATAGCGACCTTTTGCACAACAGAACGAAACACTGCCTGATCCTGGGCCAACCTCACAGTTGTTGCCACACTTGAGCCCATTGATGCTGCCACTTTGCCAATCCATCTCTCTGGGGGT